CATTTACATTTTCTCAATCTCAACATAATTGTTGTTTTTTAATTTTAAATTTATTTTATATTAATTATCATTTTTTAACTTTTTAAAACAAACAAATTTTTTTTTAAATTTAACCTTATCATTATCTATTTATTTTGATATTCTATTACAAAAAATCTAATTCTCTCTTTTAAGTTTTTTTTAAAAGTAATATAGGTAAATTTATGAATTGTCCTTAAATCTTTAATTTTAAAAAAAATGTCGAAAAAATTATAGTTATTTTGGGTGGAGGGAATATTACATTAAATCAATCCTTTTTCAGTTCGTTTGAATTAAATCAATCAGGCTTTAACAACTGATACAAACATACAAAATTTTACAGAATAAAGAATAAGGTTGCTTTATTTTTTTATATAACACCTCATAAAATTATTAATTTATTATGATTAATTTAGTTTTAATTAATATTTTGTATAATTTAATAATCATATTAATAAGTATGACTCTTTTTAAAATAATTATCAAATAATAACATAAATTTTTTATAATAAAATATTAACAAAATCACAATATATTTCACAATAATCTTAAAAACAACTTAAATTTAATATCTAAAAGCCGTCCGTGCTTCGTAAAAGGGCGCAGAGTCGATAAACATCAATTACGGTCATGGCATATACTCCACCCGGAGTCCTGGACCACTACAAAGCCCGAACCTCAAACTTGGTATGATTTCAAGTTTTGAGCTCAATGAGTATCATAAAAATGGAGCCAGAAATCTAATAAAACCAATGGTGTGTAGTTAAACTCAATGCTTTTAAAGGATCAAAAAGCATATTATGTTGCATCGTTGTAAGCTCTATTTAGTTTAACTATTAAGAAACAGTTCATAATTGTTAATCATATCTACCGATTGATAGTTTCTATTACCATGCCAAAATGCTTAGACTAATTAAAAGCTAGCCCATACTGTTTCATTCAACTCAGACTACTGTATATTAAAGACATGTACGTGCTCATGAATCTATGACTCCTTAACCTAATCCTGTGACTATAGAGCATAACCGAAGTGGGATCCAGGGCAAATGGAGCTGATCAGGTCAAGCCACGGAGAAGAAGAAAACAGGATGGCAGCATACCTGGTATGGGAAGATCTAACGGTGTCTGTAATGTCTAGAAACTTGAGGAATGCTTCTTCCAAAGGGAAGCTGCTACGTGGGCTAACCGGCTATGCTCAGCCTCACCGCATCATGGCTGTCATGGGTCCTTCTGGCTCAGGCAAATCAACCTTGCTAGATACCTTGGCTGGGAGGCTCTCCTCTAATGTTGTAATGACAGGAAAGGTTCTACTCAGCTGCAGAAACAGGAACCTACGCAGCAGAGATGTTGTGAGTACATGAAACCGTGCATCCTCTGTTTCTCCCCTCAAAACTTTTAACATTTTGGATCAAAATCTGGATAAGATTTCTATCTATATTTTCAGATTTTGAATATTTTCTCTCCTTTTTCCTTTTCATGTTTCCTAAAATACATCTTGGACATAACTATAGAAAATAACATTTGTAATCTCCAAAACTCAAGTGCATAAGCACTTCGAGAGGTTGTTTGATATGACTCTATACATTTCCCTCAAACTAAACAAGTTTCAGAATTACCATTTTTTTAGAAACAATGTTAAGTTGTTTCTAAGAAAACGTAATTTTGGTATGAATTGAGAGACACTATTCTCATACTTTCATCTAGAATAACAGAACAGGATTTCCGAACCTTAATATTGATTCTAATGTTCTCCAGGCGTATGCGACTCAAGAAGATGTGTTTTTGGGAACTCTAACCGTCCGAGAAACCCTGAGATATTCGGCTCATTTGCGGCTTCCGGCCACAATGACCAAAGACGATATAGAGGAGGTTGTCGAAAATACGATCACTGAGATGGGTCTTCAGGACTGTGCCGATCGAAAGATTGGAAATTGGCATATTAGAGGCATAAGCACCGGAGAAAAGAGGCGACTCAGCATCAGTCTTCAGAGTTTGACACGACCCCATGTCCTGCTTTTCGACGAACCCACCAGTGGGCTCGACGGGGCCTCCGCTTTCTTCGTGATAGAGGCCCTGAGGAGTATTGCTCTTGACGGGAGGGTCGTCGTCTGCTCCATTCACCAGCCGAGCAGTGATGTCTTTCAACTGTTCGATGATTTGCTGTTGCTTTCTGATGGAGAAACTGTTTATTTTGGAGAAGCAAAGAACGCTATCAAGGTGATAAAAAAAAACTACCCTTTTAGCACTAAAATTCGGATTAACCTCGTTAAGAAGCTCAATTCGACTAAATTATCTACCAAATGAACCAAGCTTCGAGTCAGACTCAAGCTTAGAATTTGCAAGCTCAAACTACAAAGTTTCAGGCATGGTTCAAGTTCTAATGTCTTTGCATTGTTCAACGCAGTTCTTTGCTGATGCCGGGTTTCCCTGTCCGACAAGAAGAAACCCTCCAGATCACTTCCTCAGATGTATTAATTCAGACTTCGACAAAGTCGTTGCCACTTTACTGCAATCTGGGAGAGACTTTGTTAGTATATCCTTAACTGATATTCCAAACCTTTGTTCGATCTTCTGTTCCTGTAAGAAAACCCGTTGGCATATGAAATTCTACCGCATTTAGCTAACTGAATTTTTACACAAACTATAGGGATTTCCAGTATCGTCCGAGTCTTCTTCCAATTTGACAACTACAGAAATCCGAAGAATACTTGTCCAGAAATATAAATGTTCTGAATATTCAATCAACACAAGGATTCAAGAAATTTCTCTCATTGTAGGCAATTCAAATCTCTACTTATTGAGGCCCATAATTTTCAATGTGATGTTTTCAATCCTAAGACCTCACTTTGGTCTTCCTCTGCTACAGGGAGAACAGTTCAGGGAATCAAATATCAGTTATCCCAGCTGGTGGAAGCAGCTACAGATACTGACTCGCCGATCTTCCCTAAACATGAGTAGAGATATAGGATACTACTGGTTAAGATTAGTATTCTACGTTCTAGTGTCAACCAGTGCAGGGACTCTGTTTTTGGACATAGGGAAAAGCAATGCCGCGATTATTTCAAGAGGGAAGTGTAATGGGTTCATCTACGGTTTCATGACTTGCTTGTCTATTGGAGGCCTGCCCTTCTTCACTGAGGAAGTGAAGGTAAGGAGTTTTGTTTCAGAAGACATAGAGTGTCTTCTACTGCAGTTTGATCATGAAAGTTTGCCATGAAAAAACGCAGGTTTTCCTAAGTGAAAGGTCTGGACGGCACTATGGAGAAGCTGTGTATGTCCTGTCCAACTTTCTCTCGTCAGTCCCTTTTGTGGTTGCAATTTCTATCGGTTCAGGGACTGTCGTGTACTACATGGTGAAATTGCATGTAGGATTTTCTCACTACTGCTATTTCTGTATGAATCTCTTCTGTTGCATTGCTGTTACAGAAGCACTCATACTGATGGTGGCGACCCTGGTGCCAACCCTCTTGATGGGCGTAGGAGCTTCAGCTGGGACCTTGGTAAACTAGCCATACTTTACCATAAGTACTCTCCCATCCCTTATCCTCCCCTGAAACCTGCAAGACAGATTATCCAGGCTACTAGATTCGTTTTTCTTTTTCATTTTTTCCCTTCTTTTTTTTTTTTTTTTTTTTTTTCTAAAGATACTAGATTATTAGTACACAAATTCTGAAATGAAATGGTTGTCGATGTAGATACTCATGATGATGCCATCTAATCTGTTTCGTCGGTTGCCTGACATTCCAAGGTTCTTTTGGCGTTACCCTATGTCCTACATCAGTTATGCAGCATGGGCAATACAGGTATAAACTCAACCTCAGTCGTGGTGCTAGCTATCAGTTCACCAAAATTGAATGCTATACTGACTTAATTGTACATGACAAACAGCAAACACCATGCAATCATTAAGAACCGACCTAGGCTTCATTTAAAAGAAACATCTGTATCTAATGGTGTGTTATGCAGGGACAATACAAGAATGATATGACTGGACTTGAATTTGACCCTCCCATTCCCGGACAGCCAAAACTGAAGGGCGAGATGCTCCTAGAGTCTGCATTTGGGATTAACCCTTATCACTCTAAGTGGTGGGACTTGACAGCACTTGTGTGCTTATTGATCTCTTTTAAAATACTCTTTTACGTGATACTAAGGTACAAGGATGGAGCATCATCAATATATCACAGGTTTCGCATCAAGATAAGCAACCAAGACTGACTCCCTTGGGAACACTTCATCGAGAAAAGAGTAAATCACCTACCTAAAGATACAGAAACTTCTCCATGATTATCTCCTCATAGACAAATCTATCATTTGATTCTTTGATTCACTACAATATATTTGTTTACAAAAGCAACAAAGATGAATAACAGCAAATCATTTCTAAGAATGTAATGTGTTGTGCAATGTTCCTATATTCATATTTCCTGTAAGCAATTTCTTGATGCATAAGTGATGAGTATATGATAAATTCGTAAGTTCATAACCATGGAAGAAATCAATCATCAAAAATAGAAACATTTAACAAGAAAGAATGCTCTTAGAGAACTCTAAAGACCATCAGATTCATGTAGAGCCTTCCATCAAAATGAGAACAAAGGTATATGATGAAGCGACAGTAGATCAGATATTATTGCAGACGGAAAGGTCAAGGAAACTAGAATGGTCAGTCATTGTTAAGGCAATTGCTGCAATGGAAAAGCACCACATCGTGTATTTGTCTTCAATAAAACCACATTTAGTTTATTATTTTATTTCTGAAAGTAGACAATTGATATAGACCATAGAGGCATGGTCAAGTCTTGATTGGATTTTCCAAATTATCTAAATACATTAAAAACAAAGTCATAATGATTTAATCTTCCAGTTCTGCAAAATAAGTGTACTAAATTTGCAAATACAAGGGTTAACACCTGAAAGAAGGGTTTGAATAACATGACCATAAATTATCATCAGCAAGTAGCCAATATGCAACTAAAGTCAGTAACTGCTCAAATGTACATATTTGCTGGAAACATATGATTGGTTACTAAAAACCGCAATAATGCATTGGCAACTCTGAATGTGTAACACCACAAATGTAGTTCTTCATTTTTAAATTGAAGGGATTATTTGAACTAACCAGTTTGGTAGGAACAAAATTGAATCACAAGTTGATGACAGACAGACAAGTACAAAGTAACCTCATTTATTTGCTTCAATGAATTCTCTATACTCTCCCTTCATTTTGACCCCTGATACAGCCCTGCAAACAAGCAGAAAGCAAGTGTTGGCAGAAGAGAACGATTTAACCAGGCATACCAACAATTATGTCTTTGCACAATCAAGTTTAATGAGTTGTAGTCCCATAAAATTCAAATAAAAAGACAAATAAATAAATTAAAAATAAAAACTGCATGCAAAGCAAGAGGAACCAACTTGAGCATCTCCTTCTGCTTGAAGAACTGAACGCAGGGTGTACCCATAATTCCAGCCGCTTCAGCAATTTCTGGATCTTCCTCAATATCAATTTCAACAAGGTGAACATTCTGATCAAATTCATCAATGACCTGCATTGAAATCAAATTACACTAAAATTAAGTCACCAATTAGCCATTCAACATGCATGATCATATGGAACACAGCACAGGATTAGGAGGTAAGGGTTTTTATAGCCTGCATCATGGCTTGTTTTGCTCTTTAAATTTGCTAGAATGCTACAGAACTTATGTAGTAATAACATTTCAAGTCTGCTTTCAGGAAAAGAAAAGGTCATAATATGGACGTGTGTATTTCTAATGCACAAAATCACTGATCATTAATTGTCATGCATGAAAATCCCCACTCACTTCACAAACATGGATAAAATAAATGCTCATTTTGAGGTGGCTATGTCAGATTATGGAGACATTAAAATACATTTCTCTAAGTCATGAAAGCTAAGACATGCATATTGCCAACTTAAAAGTGCTTCACCTAATCAGCTAGGTTAATTTATTAAAACAAAAGTTATCAAGATTGTAAAAGAAACTTGACTACCAATCTTCACTATAAACTTTTATTGGAGGCTCGTGTTAATCATGAGATACATGCCAGGTTTTCACCGTGGCAAGTATATTACAGAACTTCCATTACAATCACCCCAACAAAAGCATTTACAAATGAGTTTTACAAGTTAAATCAGTTCTACTTTTGAACACCATAGAAAGTATAAAGGGCATGCAGAACCTACATGAAACTTCCACTAAGCCAGACATCATAATGTACCACCAGAAGTTAAATATTTTGTAATACTGAAACAATAAAAACTGACATACCTTGTGAAGAATTGGCTTCAAAGTCCGACAAGGACCACAGGTTGGTGCTGTATATAGTACACATATAAGCCTTGGACTCTCATGGTACAACTTTCGTAGTGCATACTGAAGTGGAAAAAATAAATTACAAACTTGAGTTAAGACTAAACCTAATGTTAGGATGTTTGATATGTTGATATTGAAATCTAACCACTCAAACAAGAACACACACCTGGCCCTTATGCTTTGTATGTGTGATATCAAAACCTTCTTGAACATCCCTGTCTGTAAGTTCCTTCCTAACGTCTTCAGTTTGAGGCTGTAAAGTAAAAATGCATGTAGAGGATTAAGCATGTATGGAACCAATTTAGGAACAGCTACTAAATCAAAATGAAAAAGGAACCATGATCACATATTTTAGAGAAGTGCATCCCAAGGAACTCAATTAGGAGATTAGCATTCATTTGAAAGTAAATACCTGATGAAACTCAATGAGAAGATCATTTCTAACAAGGTAGCGCTCTGCTGATAAAGCTGCTATGCATCCTGATCCAGCAGCGGTTATGGCTTGTCTCCACTCATGGTCCTGTTTAATACAAAGCAGAAATTGTTTTTGGTAAAAACACCAAGTTCTTCAAATTTTTAAGTAAAACAAATTTTTTTTTTTTTTTTTTTGGGATAACAATAAAATTAGTTACAAGAGGTTTAGCTTTATCAACAGCAGAAGATAAAAATATTCTGTTTGATTTGGTCTGTTATTTTATATTATTGTTCATATATCTATGCTTTTAATTTGTGACAGAAACACACCATATCCAACGCTTGTATTACAAATAATCCCCAAAAATATTTCTCAAACTCACATGTGATCACTCAGACAGTAAGCTCCGATACCAATGGAACAATAATGTCAAATGAGGTACTTAAGCAGACGCAGACCAATAAAGCATGACAACTTACAGATATATCAACATGGAAGGCACTATAAAGGACTCAGCCAAGATTACCTGCACATCTCCAGCTGCAAATACACCTTCAACAGATGTTTTTGCAGTACCATCCTTAACTAAGACATAGCCAGATCTGTCAAGTTCAACTTGGCCTTCCAACAGCTGGCTATTTGGCGAATGTCCTATACCATAAAATAAGCCCTTTGCCTCAAGAACAGATTCCTCCCCAGTATCAACTTTTCTGAGTAATATCCCTGACATCTGGCCTTTTGTATTGCTAACAACATCCACAGTTTCTGAATTGAAGTGCAAGGTGATGTTTGGATTGTTCAAAACTCTGAAACATTCGCGATAATTACCCTGTTAAACAAACATTCAGGAGTTGAAAACTCAACATACAGATTGTTCATTAGTATATAACACCACCATCAAGGCAGTCAAACAGAAAAAGAATGCATGACAAGAGAAAATTTAGCTACAGCTACCACCTAAAAAATTAACATTGAATTTCACATGCACTTTCACACCAAATGCTCTATCGGAGATACACTTTAGAAAAGACACGTACGTGTGTTTGAGTATTGAAACGAAATCAGCTGAAATCTACTAAAAGGCAGTTTTCTAAAGGGGAAAAAAATGGAAATATAGGAAGCATTGAATTTTTTGACTTTAAAAAACTGATACTGATGTAACAAGGGTTCATCCAAACTCACCTATCTTGCATTGCTTTTGATGCTCTCATTTGGTCCCTACGCACAAGCAAATGAACATGTCGAGCATATTTAGTAAGGTAGATTGCTTCCTCTGTCGCTGTATCACCTCCTCCAACCACAGCAAGTACTTGGCCCTTAAACAACGGGGATGCTCCATCACAAATGGCACATGCACTAATTCCCCTGCTCCAAAATTCATCTTCACGAGGCAACCTGAGCCTTTTGGCAGTAGCTCCCGTAGCAAAAATCATGCTGTGACACTTAACCTGGGACAGCCCATAAAAGGAACTGAATTTCAATAATAAGCACAAAATGATCTGTTCAAAGATAAATAAATGATGACCATGCCCTACATGAAGAAAGCAACAAGTTAATAACCAACCATAACCAAGGAGAACAAGTTCTAGCATAATGGACAAAGCCACTGAATATCCATAATTTTGGCACAGGCATTTTGCTATGTTTCAGCCTAAAAAACTCAATTGAAAGATTGTAGAAGTGTTTACCTTTCAAATAAAATTTTATCTTTCCGTGAAGAAAAGAAGTTAGTAATAAAAATAAGTGTGTAAAAGTTGGAAGTTCACCATTAGCATAAAGAAAAGAGTAAAATAAAAAACTAAAGATTTTAACATGCCTTTTTCTTTTGCCATTAAAAACATGGCTTTTCTGGTCAGTTACATTCTCATGCACATGACTCAGATGACCATGCAACAAAAAAGAAACTTTTCCGACTGGACGTGGGCTTCCAAAAAAAGATATGAATTGGTGACATGTATCTAGCAATCTAAATCAGTTTTTCATAGCAAGAAAGATCATCACCAGATACAAATACAATGGAACTGACTTTTCCAAGTCAAGGTATATACATCCAACAATTGCTAGTCCCCAGTATAATGGTTTAGAAACTATTTAACAATTACTTCACCATACAAGAGGAAGCAACACAAAGAGACACCAATAAAGGAAAAATACCTCACGTTCACTACTCTGTATCGTAAAAGGACTGGTTTTAACATCAATAAACTCCACATCTTCTTGGAATAGTTCTGCTCCCCAACGCTCAGCTTGCCGTCGCATCCTAGCCAAAAGATGGCATCAAAACTCTGGGTCACAATTTTGGTTGAAATAGAGATTGCCAAATAAAATAATTAACACTTAAAGAAAGATAGTCTGTCTCCTTTTTCTTTTCCCTTATAACTACCTATCCATCAAATCTGGACCAGTTATTCCATCAGGAAAACCTGGGAAGTTCTCCACTTCAGTCGTAGTCATCAATTGCCCACCAGGAACACCACCCAATTGATACCCCTCAAACACTACAGGCTTCAAATTGGCACGAGCCGCATATATTGCAGCTGTATATCCAGCAGGACCTGAGCCTATAATCACCAAATTCTCCACTCCTTTAGCTGCAACAGGAAAGACAACATGGTTACTTGCATTTGCATCAATAAAAAAATAAACTAAAAATAGTTACTTTTCATAATATCTCTCTAGCTGACATTCAAACATATGGCCATTACACCAAGCAGATTTTCAATTTCCATTTCAATATCATTTCTCTTTCTCCCAAATAAGAAATTAAATGAAAAAAAAAAAAATTCAACTTCAATTTGATCAAATTCAGCAAAGCAAAATCTTAGGAGTTAGGATCCGAATTTTTCTCTGGTCCTTGACAATTTGACACAGTCAGAATGAAGTCCAAAACCCTCCAAAACTCCCATTTCCTTACTTCCAAATCCTAAATCCAAACAACTCCACAATGCCAACAAAACACAAATCAAATCTTAAGTAGAATACAACTAAAACTCGAAATTTTCACGGAGGAATATCATATGACATATATGCATACAAAACTGCATGCAGTGCAGAAAGAGAGCGGAATCGAGAGTGGACCTGGAGTGGGAGAGGCATCGACGGAGGCAGCTTTAGCACGGAGAGACAAAGCGCGTGTTCGGGAAGAAGAGTGGAGGCGGAAGGGGCGTGGGGAAGCGGAGGACGAGGACGAAGAGGAAGAGGAGGAAGAGTTGAGGAAGAGGAGAGGCGGAGGGAAGGCGTTGGAGAGAGTAGACATGGCGGCAGGGTGGGTGGGGATTCCCATTCCGATACCGACGCCTATCTTGGAAGATGAAGAAACCATTTGTTTCAGACCATACAAATGCGAGGCCCAATGTTTAAGGAGAATCCTCTGCGTTCGGGATAAGGCGCAGCTATCCCATTTCGCTCTGGTAATTTTTTTTTTTTTTTTCCTCTTTTTTGGGGTTAAAAGCACCTTTTTCCTCATTTAACTTTTGCGGTTAATGAAGAAAAGTTTCTCTATAACATTTTCTTTTATTTGAATTTTTTAAATGAGATAAACGTGTTGAGAGTTAAACTATTAAAAAAAATAATGACAATAAATTATTAAAATATTTTTAATAAATTAATATATTAAATATTAAAATAAAATTATTTACATAATTTTATTAAAAAATTTTAATATTAAAATATT